ACTGCATGTGCTTTTGATGATGCCATGAAGACATATAAAGCTTCAAGGAATGCAAAGATTTCAGAGGCAGAAGCGACAGATCTACAGGAATCCACTGGAACCAAATTCAAAATGTCAGCATAGCAGTAAATGTATACAGCATTTGGGGCAAATTCTCGTACTTTGGCTTGGACACCAGCGCACGTACCACTCAATCACACTGGCCCCATCGTACCCCTGACTAACTATCTTTGAATAATCTAAATCAAATTTTAAGAGAAGTTTTTTGATATATGTGGAAAGGCTAGTAGCATCAAGAGACTTCGCTTCGACATATGTCAGGAAGTGTTCGTAAATCTTACCTTGGGTCATATCAGCATATCTAACCACAAAACACATCTGTTCCTGCTTCGAAAAATCCTTCGTCTCATCTGCTAATATAATAAACACCCCTGCTGATCGCACTTGATGACAGATACTATTCCGAATTTTCTCACCAAGGATATGAAGCAGCTGATTCTGGATAGAATGAGATGTGTAGAGTGCATTTTGAGGACCGGATGTTAGTCGATCATGAATAATTGGATCATACATGGCAAGGAGTTTAACAAGCTCCAAAAAATTGCCCTGATTTGATACTGATGGTGTTTCCCTATGACCACGAAGAGCAATTTCTTGTGAAGCACAGTACATCAGTGAATGGATGATAGCAATCAAATAGTGGCGGTTCTTCTTGATCTGCTCCTTTCTGGCACTATCCAATCTGGTTGCAATTGATGAACCAGTAGCAACTGTCACCTTGAACTGATTCCAATTCATTAAGGCCTCTTGATGACTCTTAAGCCCCGTTTACACTATAAATCAGTTTAAATTAAAGCGGTTTTAAAAGCGCATTAATAGCGTTTACACGCCTAGTAGTTATTACGGTTTAATTTGTTCCTGTGTAAACGGAAAAGAGGTTTAACCAGTGCTCTTTAAATGGAAAAGAAATAGTCTTTGTGCAGTTTGTGGATCTCGAGTGAAACAGACGGGAACAGAGAAGAAGCTTGGATCTATATCACAGGTAAGTACTATTCTTTAGCTTACTTTTGCATACACACATACTGAGCATGCGCTAGAGTTTACCTGGCAACGATTGCGTCTCCTAATTCTCACAAGTAAAGATGAATGAGACCATCGTTGCCACTGCGTTGCTGTTGAGGAGAAAAGCTGTTAGAAAGCAAAGAGAAAAGGAAATCTATTTAAAAAAGAGAGCACGAGCTTTTAGGAGAAGGGCATTTGCTGCCAAACAAGAAAAACAACGTCTTTGTTTTGCTATTTTGCTGGCACTGACCACCCTCTCTATAAAACTACCTACACCAAGGTCTATATGGACGAGACAAAGAAGCAGTTACTGGTGGGATCATATAGTTTTCTCCACTTTTACGAACGACCAATGGATGGAGAACTTTCGTATGTCAAAGACAACGTTTGTTATGATTTGTAACGAGCTACGATCCAGCCTAAAAAAATCCTCCACTACTATGAGACAACCAATACCAGTTGAAAAAAGAGTAGCTATATCTCTATGGTTTATGGCTACTGGTACTGACTATAGGACAATTGGACATCTTTTTGGAGTCTCAAAAGCATCGGTATGTTTAGCCATTCGTCAGGTATGTCGTGCTATACTTACCACACTTCTCGAAAGGTACATAAAGTGGCCTTCTGGTGAAAATCTAAAAAATATAATCAGTGGATTTAAGCATAAGTTTGGGTTTCCTCAATGTGTCGGTGCTGTAGATGGTACACACATACCAATCATATCACCAGAAGACTACCCAGCAGACTACTACAATAGGAAAGGATGGCATTCTGTTTTAATGCAAGGTACTGTTGATCACCTGGGAATTTTTATTGACATTTATATCGGTTGGCCTGGTCGTGTACACGACGCAAGGGTATTTGTTAATTCGTCTCTGTATAAGAAGGGTCAAGAAGGGACATTGCTACCCAACTGGAAAGAATCAATTGAAGGTCAAGAAGTTCCCTTAGTTCTGTTAGGAGATCCAGCTTATCCTTTGCTACCATGGCTCATGAAACCCTATTCAGATAACGGACATTTAACACGTGATCAAAAAAGATTTAACTATAGACTAAGTAAAGGTAGAGTGGTTGTTGAGCATGCTTATGGAAGACTAAAAGGAAGATGGAGGTGTTTATTGAAGAGGTTGGATGTTAGTGTAGAGTTTGTACCAGATGTAGTTGCTGCATGTTGTGTTTTACATAACATTTGTGAAATACATGGAGAGACATTTAACAATGAATTGTTGGACGGGATAGACGACACCTTAGTTCAGAGAAGCGATTATTCATCAGATAATTCACAATCAGCAGAGTGTACTAGAAAAGCGATTTCTGGCTATTTCATTCATCATTAAAATCAAGAGTGAAAATTAATAAATTATGTACAGTATACATGTATAATCAATGATAGTGTATACAATGTATAATATAATATATAATATAATACATGAACTATGATAATACTATACATACATACATGTACAACAATATATAATATAGCTGTTCTTTTATCTTATCACATCTACATGTACTAGTACTACATAATTATGTATTATGTATGTCAGAGTATACAGCTAGTATTCACAATGAAATTGTGAACTAGTATAATTTGCTGGTGGTTTAAGCATTTGACCTAGCATTTGAAAGAGTCTCAGTTCGTGCTCCTGTTCTTCCATTCTTTTAATTTCTTCTATTTCTTGTTCTTTTTCAAAACGCTCTTCCTCCCACTTCCGGAAATTTTCTTCTGCCTTAATTTGGTACTGTAGAAATGATTCCATTGCTTTGTCAAAAAAATTTTCTCCTTTGCTTTTTTTTCCTACTTTAATTTTTTTCTTTTGAGGCATATCTAATAGCAATTTACAATAGCTACCATTTGTTGTGAAGTATACATAGTAACACTAACCATTTTCATCTCTTTTGTTTGTAGGTGGTTCAGAATAGCCGTTACTGCGGGCAGCGGCACTGTCAACTGTTGGTGCCAGAACTGGTTCAAATTCATGATTGACTTCGTCATCATCATCATCGGAATCTATTCATACTTTTCACATAATGAAAATTTATTAGTATTTACCATTGAAATCTTCAGTATCTTGTGACTTGGATGTATCAATCAGCACTGTTGGAAGTGAAGCTGGTCTATCACCAAGAATACTATCCATTTGTTTAAAGAACTGGAAAGTCTTTCTTCCATTCCCAGTTATATTATTGTGGTCTTTTATTCTTTTATATTCTGTCTTAAGATTCTTGATTTTAGATCTACATTGTTGCCATTCACGACTTATACCAGTGGTAGCCTCCAACTTTTCACTGATTTCAATAAATATTGTTTTATTTCTGGTACTCCCATCGAGTTTTTCTTGAATTTTAGTATCTCCCCAAATACTGATTAGTGCAGTGATCTCTTTATCTGTCCAAGAAGAACTACGAGCCATGTTTACTTAGAGGAAAGAACTCAAAACAATGCTCCATCTGGTGCGCGGGAGTAAATCCCGCCCTTAAACCGGTTTCTAAACCACCTCAGGATGTGGTTTACTTAAACTGGTTTATAAACCGCTTTGATGTGTTTACACACAAACCGCTTTAATCTAAACCAGTTTATAAAGCGCTTTAAAGGTCTAGTGTAAACGGGGCTTAAGACTGCTAATTTATACATACCTATGTCGCAATTGATTATGATTACCCAACCCTGACCCTCGCCTTTTACTTGTTTAAGAACTTGTGCCATTTCAATACATTGTTTTACTGATTGTTTTAATAGTAATAGGTATGACTAACAATTCCTGTTAGTGAAACTTGTAGAATCCATTATTTTATAATTTGGTGAAATTTATCACATCTTGCTTGAAATAAATTTTGCTGTTCATTCACACTATTACTTAATGGCACTTCCTTTATGTCACAGTCACATGCAATTCACCACAACACTTCTCACTTTACTTAATACTTTTGTCTCCTCTCTCTCTCATTACAGATGCAATGATAGCCATTACAGTTGATGGTATATTGAAGGTGTGGTTGATATTGAGATGAAGGATATGACTGATCTGTTTCAAAAAAAGTCCAAGTTCTAGGTTTATCTACTCCTGTCTCATTGACTTTGATGACTTCTCATTAGCTCTTGTTGTTCACAGAGACTTGTGGCAGGTAATGATGACATTTATTATTTTGTAGTGACATGTCAGGGTTGTGGCGAAGTACATTGGTACTTGTACTTAAGTGCACTTCAGTACATATTTTTTGGTACTTTTACATATACTTAAGTCTTTTTTAAATTTTATCAATGTACTTGTACTTTTACTTAAGTATTAGTCTATGTACTTGATGTACTTCACGTACTTATAAGTCTTTTAAGTACTTTTAAGTCTTTTTAAGCACAGATTGTATAATGTGTATATTATTACCACAGCTAGTGTGATTACATGTACTTTCAATACTATATCAGTGTATCACAGAAAGCAAGTGCAAATTCTACTTTGTCTGTAGCTGGGTAGTTGGCCAGTCTCTTTACTTATTTCTAACTGTAACTGAACAGGAGCTCATGTTTTGAAGATTAATGTTCAATACATGTAATAATAATTAATTGCAATGTAATTAAATCGACTCTAAAAAGTACTTACACTTATACTTAAGTACATATCCAAGTATTTGTAATTATACTTAAGTACTTTTGTCAAAAGCGATCATGTACTTGTACTTATACTTAAGTATTTTGTAAATGTGCTTGGATTTTACTTAAGTACTTTTCAAAGTACTTCGCCCAAACCCTGCTACATGTACATGTATGTTGTACAATGTAGTTTGGAGTGGTTATTTTGGGCGAATTGCTTTTTATGAATCAAGGTTTTGGAATAAAAAATTTTTTATGAAGGCTGTTTGATGTTTTACCATGCCCACGTCTCAAGTAAAAATTTTGGTTTATAAAGTAGTTAGTTGAAATTTTACTTGCCTAAATTATCTACTTGGTGGTATCTATGTACATGTACATGCAGGATGTGTAGTTCTTCATTTTTATGTATGTAATTTTAGCACATGTACTTTGCATGTACATTGATGTGCACATGTACATGCACATGTACGTACATATGCGTACACAGTTTTTCATTTTCCATTTTGACATGCATATTAGTTGTAATCTAATTATTAATTAATTTTCATTTTAATTGTGACCATAATTGACAAAAGGTACCTCATGGTGGATTTTTAAATTCATCATCATAATTAAAAATATCAACCTCTGAGTGCTCTGAGAGACAAGCATTGTTTGTAAAAGTTTCATAGTAACTTTTGCCATCCTGTGGAGTAATTTTATCATATAGGAGATTGATTTTTCAAGATGGCGGCCGTTTTTATGATTTTCAAACCCTTATAACTTTTATCTTACGTTGCACAGTCTTATAAATGACTTAGATGAGCTCTCCTTCACTGAGCAATTCTCCTTGTACCTATAAGGTGGACTGTAATGTAGCGGGAGCATTTCTGGAGAGTAGGCCCAAATTCTAATTTCTACAAAATTCTTCAGACTTTTTCTTCTTCTTTCATTTTCTATCAACACGGAAATTTTTTAAGCCAGGGAACCGCTCGAGTTGGCTTTTACATCATTCCTTTGTGTTTGAGTCAAGGACTGGACATGTGGCTTCAAAAAGAAGCAAAGACAGAGAACAATGGAAGACAAATTCCAGCTGGAGCACCCATGGGTTTGTGGTTTGACACCATTTTAATTTATGCACACATGATTAGCATGAATATTATTAACCTAACCACATAATTAAAACACTGAAAACGGAATGTAATTTATTAATTTAAGAAAAAAGAATGGAAACAAGTAAATAAAAAACATTAAAAATGGAAAAGTAGTAGGATTAAATTGTAAAAAAAGTAAAGAAACAAGAGGGTACTTGCAAACTGGCGATGTAAGAAATCCTACACCACTGCATGAAAGACATGGCTTCCACATAGTTATTGTGTAGTAGCCTGCGGATAATTACAATGCAGTCAATGCTTTTGGGTAATATTCTTCATGCAGTGGTGTAGGATTCTTACATCGCCAGTTTGCAAGTACCCTCTTGTTTCTTTACTTTTTTTACAATTTAATCCTACTACTTTTCCATTTTTAATGTTTTTTATTTACTTGTATCCATTCTTTTTTCTTAAATTAATAAATTACATTCCGTTTTCAGTGTTTTGATTATGTGGTTAGGTTAATAATATTCATGCTAATCATGTGTGCATAAATTAAAATGGTGTCAAATCACTCATTCATTTAAAAGTGACTGCATGGAATTTGTGTGAACCACATTATTAAATCAGAGCTTAGTCAAGCCTAATAGCATGACTTGTTGCATTAATCATTAATTTTGGTACATAGCATACACATGCAAGGATATGTACAGTTAAAGTCAACTCCAAATACATTCATAGGTTCACCTTTCCCACCCGCATTGGCAATTAAACATTTCAATGATAAAAAAATTTAATGAGGCTACCTGTCCTCTCCGCCTGTGAAACAGATCAAATTGGAGTGGGCTAATAAACTGACAATGCTGATGATAATAAGCAATAATAGTATCTGGAGATTGGGGGTTTTACATGTACATTAAGATTGACAGTCACATCACTACTTCACCGATGATATTAGACAACTTACATGCATAAAGCATAACTTGTGTTACAACTACATTTGACAAATACTATAGTACTATAAGCTGCTACATACATGTAAATACACGTACAAACAAGCATACATTCACAAACATGTACGTTATCAGGAAACCAGCTCAATAATTATGTGGCAAATTATAATAATTATAGTCAAAGTTAAATTAATAGTCACTGTAAAATTGGTCTGAAAAGGCAAAAGCATCCTCAAAATGCCATCATTGCCATGTAGAGTTAAGTACATGCATCCTAAGATATTATGCAAGAACTTGACAGCTTAGGCAAGCTTACAGCTGTCAACATGAAGTGTTGCATATTGCTTAGTAACAGGTCTTGGCTTGCACAGCCAAAAATTATAAAAGGAACTGATAGCAAAGGCAAGACCTATAAAACTGAGGAAAGTCCAATTGATACAGAATTATAGCATCACTAAGGAATTATGGATATCAGTAAAATAATAAGTAAGAACTTTCTTGATGTCTTTTCCATTTCAGTGCTTGTTTTTAGTAACAAATAAGTATTTTACTTTTGATTAACTAAACCTAAAAATTTTTACCTACATGTAGCTTACTAAACTAATAAATGTACAGTAAACTAAGAATATTTGCATGGTTTAAGTAAACTGTGTACAGTCACAGTTTCAGTGGATAACAACTTTTCCAACACAAAATAAAACTATTCTACCAAAAAACTAATGCTAAAACTGTCTAAAATTTAATTACTAATACAGTGTACTGCAGATAAAAATGAAAGTACAATTCCCACTAGGAACAAAAAATGAAACACGGTGTCAAAAAATTATTAAAAAAGCAAAATTTCAAAAAATTGAGAAAGGCCAACAAAAATACATTAAATATGATACCAGACAATTCATACAATATCACAAAAAAATTCTAAAGTAGCAAACTTTACGAAAATGCACATGAAAATTTTCAAGTTTGTGTCAAATAAATAAAATACAAACAAAAATGAAGAAATTTCAAAAATATCTCAAAAAATTACAAGGAAAAAATTAAAAGTGTCTGAAAAGAATTGTAAAGAACTTCATAAATCAACCAAGTTAGAAAAGAGTTATACATACATTGTACGTGAAACATTAAGAAAAGTTAAAAATCTCTTTAAAAATCCACAAAAATTGTGAAAAAAATGAAAAATCAAGAAAATGCAGAATACATCTAACTAAAAAATTTATAAAGTTTTCAAAAAAGTGGATGTTTAATTCATAAAATTAAAATATACGAAAGAATTTCACAAACTTGTAATAAATATATAAAAATATTACAAAAGCTGAAAAAAGCCATAATAAAATCATAGTACTTATGCACATGAAATTTTGTAAAGGAACTCACTAAAATTAGCAAAGACAAAATTTATTAAGAAACCACAAAAATGAGAAAGAAACTTACAAAGATATAATCAAAATGGACAAATTAACAAAATTTGAAAAATTATTTCAAAAGCAAAATTACAAAAAATTCAGAAAGGCCAACAAAAAGACATTGAAGCCTTGGTTTCCTGCCATAGTAATGGGTATTCAGCTTTGAAAATTCTTTAAAAATCTAGTGGAATTAGCTGATCATTTCTACATAACATACATTTCTACATAACATAAGCTGATTTACATTTTGTGTACATGCACCAGAAAATGTAATATTGCATGAAACAGAAAATCACAAATGTTTTGACAATTATACAAACAGTATCTATTATACCCAATATGGTGTACATGGGAATGGTGGGTTACCACACCCTACACGGTATACAAACACTGTACATGCATGGGTATTACTTAAATTAAAAGTCAGTGAACTACAGCATCCACACTTTACATATACCGTACGGTTGGTAATATTCGAGGGTCCAAAATTTCGTGCTTTCTCCAAAATGTCCTTAGAACCTAATATTCGTGGGTACAAATATTCGTGGGTGGTAGTAAGCAAACTTCTTTTCACTTGGATCTGCTGGACTAG